CACGTTCTCACGCTGGCGCGCCCGATCCGCATGGATTCAAGATTATTCAAGTATTCAGGGTTTCACGTTCCCAGTCTCATATGTCTGGCCTTCACAGATTCACAGAGAAGCCGCGTTCCTGCTAAGCTCGCGTGGCGAGCCTGCTTCTTTACTCGACTCCATGGCATGTATGGTTGCACTTTCTGTTCCAGAGAGATTTTAGCTATGTACGCTTGTGGATCTCGCTGTCCTGGCAGGCGATATCATGTGTCCTTTGTCAACGCACTCTGCGTGTGGCACCCAGATGCTTCTGGACCAGCAGCCAACCCAAGATGACAGAAGGGAGTCGGGGATCATGGCTTCTTTGATGTCATTCAGTCGCTTCTGCTCGAGCCTTCTTGAGGACAGCTGCAGGACGAGCGCAGCCATGGCAAGGACTCCAGCATCGCGCAAGATTGGTCGCGTGCTGGCGCTGCTGGCATTGTTTTGGGCGGGTCAGCCAGGGCCTTAGGCAGGCGCTGCTCAGCCAGTGTTAGAGAGGATCCCCGGCAGCTTCATCAGGCAAGCCGTGCAAACAGTGCGGGCTGCTGTTGGAGTCCGGGCCGTGCCCTTTGCAAGGCGGGATATGACAGCATGGAGCGACGAAGAGCATAAAGCCAAGCGAGGCCTCCTGCGGGCGCGTGGGCGCGTAAGCCGCTCATTGCACGCGGAGCCGCGAGCAAGGCGGGGAAAACTGAGAAGAATGTGTTAAGCTCATCCGGACAAACTCAGGCTGATGGCCAACCTGATGAAGTTGACGACAACGAAGATGATGAGGCAAGAATGGTTTGTCGTTTCGGCGTGACACCCCTGCTTTGCTATAAGGTGAGCAAGCTGGCCAAAGAACACGATGCGGTTCAGAGCTACGACGCAAAGAAGGTGCCTTGCGCCGTTCTTATGTCGTTTCCTTCGGTCTCTGCCCTGGCTTTCTGAAGCGTCTCTTGTAGGTGATTCGATGGGTCAAAGAATCCGTGCGTATCACTGATCGCGAGGTCGGAGATGACGAATGTGGCTGCTTGTCGCGTCTCAAGCAGCACTGTGCTCCGAGGAAATCACAAAGCTTAAAGCGCAAAAGTATGCTGGGTCATTCCTGCTGGAGAAGAGCAGCGCGGCAGACTTGGAAGCAAAGCTCAAATTGTCAGACGGGCCAAAAGACATCTTGATAGAGCGCATCAAGAAGCTGAAAGCGGCCGCCGCCGCTCGACTGCACGCCTTGCCATTGTTTCCGGGCAGCCGCAGTCTGGGAGCAAGCTGAGGCCATCAGAGATGCCAAGCGGAAGCTTGACAATGCAGGCGCTGATGAGGCCCGGGAGGCTTCGGAGTGAAGCCGGGTGTCCATAGCACCGGTTGCTCCGGCACAGGATCGGATCGCGATGGTCGGCCGTGGCCTCGGAGCTGTGGGAAAGTTAGCCAGATGTGGCGGGGACGGCGCTGGCAGGTGCCATGCTGTCGGCGCTGGTCGAGATGGATGCAGTGGATGTGATGAGATCAGCTCTGGAGGTTCCAGTTGTCCAATCGGTTGCTGGGCCGCACACTTTATGTCCTTGCCAATCGCGGTCTGAGCTGTGGATGCCGCCTGGCCCAGGTGTTGAAGGCAGCGCTGGACGTGTCCAAGGACGACGTGGGCAGCTACGGGCCAAAGAAAGTAGCTGCATGGATTGCAGCAAAGCTGGTTTCTGCCCAGTACGACGATTCTGATATCCAACAGGCCAGGGGTGCAAATTTCGTTTGTGCAATCCATTCCTTTTCCTTGTTTGAGGCACTTCGGAAGCTGGCCGGGATGAATGGTAACCAGGTGCTCACAGTCACGCAAGATCAGCTCAAGGAAAACTACAAGCTAGAGGTTGCGAAGGCTGAGTTCCTGGTCGACGCAGTTCAAGGCTTAAACGACCCTTCGGCCACTCTGGCGTGCACTAGTCACACTTCTTTTGGCGGGCCAGTTTTGCGGTCAGTGTCACGTCAGTTGGCATGTTTCATGGCAGCCTGTGTGCTGAAAGGCGTTGACATTTGCAGACCTTGCCAAAAACGCGAGCTATGCTGCTTACATATATCACGACATTTGGGTATACGACCTGCTGACACGGCTTGCTTGCGGGTACGTCCCTGATGCGCAGCACCTCGGCAACATCTCTTTTGAAATGGATCAAGGAAAACGATGCATTCCTGTTTTTTACGGAGAAAGCGGTAGTGGCAAAACCGTTCAAGCGCTGTTCGCGCCAGCCCGTATTATGTCCCAGACCGGAAATGCCACTGTGCGCGTGTTTGGCTGCAATGTACCTGATAGCGACCGTCTCCTCGAACAAATCAAGGAAACCGATGCTGAGAACAACACAAGCCGGCGTGGTGAGTTGTGCAAACAATTGTTTTGGATAAATTCAAGGAACGGGTCAGGCATGCGTTTTCTCATCACAAAGAGTTAACTGAAGCATGGTGGGAAAATGCGTCGCGAGACACCGACGCCCTCGGCTCTGTTGTTCTTGTGATCGATGAAATCACGAAATGTCCAGAGCTGGCACGGGGTATTGTCGCGCAGCAAGAGGATATCTACGCGGGCCTCAAAGAATATTGCGAAGTAGCACAACTGATTCTGGCAGGCACATCCCCAGCACGTATTCTTGGATCGGGGCAAGCAGCTGCATTCTCTTCCGACCCAGAGAAGATTCATCTAGTTGAAGTTGGGCCAGTTCAAGAAGGGACAGGGAACGACTCCTATCCGCAGCAATTGCTGAAGCATGTCATGCCTGGCGGGATGGTCTCCCTAGCGGATCTACAGCATGTCAAGTTCCTGGCGCCGTACCTATCAAACGCCCGGACTGCCATGCTTCTAGTTGAGGAGGTAAAGAGGCATGTAGAGCCGTCAAAGGCGATCAATCGCAATGATGCATACTGCATTTGGAAGCGCTTCCCCTGGATTCCTGGCTGCTTCGTGCCTTTAAGGTACAGATCATTGAACGGCTTGTCGCGCCTGACAACCCCCAAACAGAGAGAGCTTGTGGCGAGGGACGCGCTTGCTCTACTCATGCATTTGGATGTTGCAGGCTTAGGCTGCAGACCAACTGCGGCTGCTGCAATGGATTGCGTGGACTTGGGCCTTTGCACGCCTTCAAACTACAGCAAGCTCCTTGAAATCTGCGAGCGGGATCCCAACAGCAAAAACTACTCCTGGGAAGTTACCTTCGCATCTTCGCCCGCTTTGAAACAAATGATTCTTGCAGCATTTGACGTGCCACAGATCATTCCTCAAGACGGAGACTCGTTTGAAGACCTCATTGCAGAAGCTGAGAGGCGCAGTGCTGAGGTTGTGACAGTCAACCCAGCCATCATTATACATTTGGACAGACCTTTGCTTCCGCCGGAAAGTCAGAACAAGATGGGGGGCATTCCCCAAGACCAGTTTCTGGAGATCCTGTCAGCTCTGGCCAGGAACGAGACTGTGGTGCTGAAGAATGGGCCAAGTGCTCAGGGAGCCGACATATTTGTTCTTCGCATCGGCAAGAGCCCTCTCGTTCGCCTGATCCAAGCCAAAAATAAAAGAAGAAAGAGTAAAATTCCTCCAGTAGTTGCCACGTTGGGCGCGACGTGTACGAATGGAGTCACACATTCCCTGCCTTGAACCGCTCCGAGCTTGTGCTTGAATTCTTCTGCCGCTTGGTACATGAGGGAGCAAGCCCTCAAGACCAAGACCTGCAACAAAAGTATGGGTTGCTGCGTCAGTTGCACCAGAAGGTCTCTCCCTTGAACGTCACGGTCCAGATGATTCTTTGGGAAAGTGCAAGTCCTCAACAACAGCTCCCAAGAAACTTCAGGGTGATTCCGCCATGCTTCTTGAATAGAATTGATTTCCAGCTACGAAGCTTGGAGCACCTGGCTCCTTTTCCAACAGATGTGAAGGCCCAGCGTTCAAACGCCAGCTACATGAGATGTACATTTCGGCGCACACGATAGGTGTAGGAGCAGTTTGGAGGCCATCGCAGAAAAAATCCTGCTGCCATGCGACGACATGTGCACGTGTACTTTTAGGGCCCCTTACTGGCACCACTGCTCGAGATGCGAGAAGCCTCAGGCCTGGCCGAAGATACTCAAGCCAAGCATCATCATCGAGGCTTGGTCTTGTGTGCTCTGAGATTGTGAGTGACACAGGTCAAGTGGAGGGGAGCATTGAGAGGGCGTCCTTGTGTGCCACGAGTGGACATGCTTTGTTTGCTTTTGGACAGTTGGTCTGCTCAGGAAGGAGTTGGCTTGGAAGATGCAGCAAGAGGGCCATGCCTGTGCTGGTTTGTCAGAGTGTGTGAGTCGCATCAAGCATCGGTCAAAGCGCGGCGGCGCAAAATGCATCCACAGCCGTTTTCCCTGGCTTCTAGGAAAACGCGTTTGTGGGGGGGCGTGCATTTCAGAAATGCGACTGCGTCGCGCAACGGCCCGTTTTCAGTTCAGCCACCAGAATGTCGCAAGACGCTCCGCAGAGCTTCTGAAAAAAGGGTCTCTTGCGAGGCCTGCTGCGGGCGCGCAGAGGTGCGATTAAAAATCCTTCAGCAAGAGAGAGAGTATGTCTGTTGATTCAGAGGCCTCTATTCGCAGAACTTTGCGTAGAGCCTTTTACCTGGCATGTCGTATTGAAGAGAAAGCTTCACCCGCGAGAATGTGGTTTGTGTGTTTTTTTTTTCTGGTTAGACGCAGATGAATTGCTGAGCCCTCTGACAACGCAACAGCCCTTGGCTGGAACAGCTTCAGCCTGGACCGCGCCCTTGGAAGCCCGGAGCCTGGAAGAAGGTCGAACCTGGAGCCTTCCAGAGAAAGGTCAAAGTCTCAGAGCCGCCGACACCTTCAGTTCAGCATGGTATTCCAATCAGTCCAGGTCTCGGACTCGGAAGGGAGAATTGAGATCTGA